CCCCCCCCCCCAGCGCTGGGGAACGGTGTGTTTTGGGGGGGACACACGGGCACCATGTTTGGCGCGGGTGTCACCCCACGGGCACCGGGTTTCCCTGCGGGCTGTCCCCATGTCCCCTTCGGTGGGTCCCATCGGTGACGGGATGGACGGACGGTGTTTCGGCCCTGAGGATTTGGGGTTGCGCCACCCGGGCCCCCATCTTTTGGGAGTGTTGCCTCCCTGATTCTCCCCCCTCCTTCATCCCCGGGGTTTGGGGGGGACCCCGTGGTGGTCCCCAGCGTGGCTTTGCCTCCCCTTTTGCTTCACGCCAGCGCTTGGTTCCTCATCCCTTGTGCCCATGTGCCCCCTTTCCCGTGCAGAGACCCCCATACCAGGATGGGATTTACATTGGGGCTCATTTTGGGTTGGTTTTGCTGCAAATCCGAAGGAGAAACACCAGTTAACGGCCCTTCGGGGGGCGGAAACGTGGGGTTTAATTGGTTCCATCTTGGGTGAATTCTTCTGGCGCGCGGTCTGCCCCCCCCTCCTCCCTGAGTGATGGGGATTTCGGGTCTTGCCCGTCGTTTCTGCTTCCCCGGCCTCGCCTGCCTTCTGCCACCTCTGCTTTGGGGTAAATCCCTCCCGGATGAGGACAGTCCGCGTGGGGAGGGATGAACATTCCCTGAGGACGGAAGCGGGATGGTGCCGGATGCTGCTTCCCACCCTGGCACCTCTGGGATGGGGTTTTTGCGGAGGGGCACTTGCTTTCCCTCGAAAAACCCTCCTGCTCCAGGCAAGCCCCGCTTGCATGTGAGGAAATGCTTGTCCATATGGAGGGGAGAGGGGCCGCGGCCTTGTGGTTTTTTGGGGAAACTGAGGCACAGCACAGGGCAGAGCTGGGTTCTGCTGTTGCCCAGCCACAGGAGGTGGCGGGGACATGGCCACACCAGTGTCACTGTCCCCCGGCTGTCCCCCGGCGGTGAGGGCGTGCTGGGATTTGGCGGGGGGACACACACACAGGCGACCTCTCCACCCCGCTTGGCTCTCGCTCGCCGTGCCGTCTCGGGCCCGCCGTCGGCTTTCCTGCGCTCGCCACTTGGCATGGGAGGGGGTACACCTCTGCCCCGATGCTCTCGCCGGGACCCTCGGGGACAGGACGCTGCAGTTGGGGACACTGAGGGCTTGGCTTCTCCCTGGGGCGAGGGCATGTTCAGGCACTCCGACCGCCGCTCCGGTCACCCCAAATCCCTCCCCTTGCCTCCTGCTCCCCCTGTTTGCCAGCTGTACCGGGTCGGTGATCTCTCGCCGTCCTCAGGGTTGCCGGTACCCGGGAGCTGCCCCCTTTCTCTCGGCGGTGCCGTGAAAAGAAATCTCTTGTTTCTTTTTATTTCAGCGAAGGCGAGACAGAGAGGGCTGCCAAGGTAGAGGCGTTCCCTAGAGAACTGTAGCTTGACTTAGCGGCAGTTGGGTAGGAAGTTGGAAGGCTCTAGTGAGCTCGTGCCCACCCGTGCCATCATCTACCTCCCATCAATCTGGAGCCTCATCGACACGTCTCCCCAGGCAGCTGCGGCCACCTGGCTTCTGAGGCCAGCCTGTGAGTACCAAAACACCGGCGTCCGACCGTATCTCGTCACCGCCGACCCCTCGCTGCCGCCGCCACACCCCTTTCCCCCTCGCCATTCCTCCCTCGCCCCGGCTTGCCGGCTTCTCACGCTCTCTTCCTTCCTGGGGGGTGCAGAGGCGATGATTTTTTTTAATGTCTTTTTAGGGTCACCCGAGATGCTGCCGCTTCCCCGCTTTGCCCGGTTGAACGGCGATGCTGGGTGCCGCTGCCGTTCTGCGGGAATTTGGGGGTTCAGCCTCTGTTTTTTGGGGGCTTCGTGCATCTTCCTGCTTGCTCTTCCGACATCCCTCTCCTCTGGCCGTGCCCGCTTCGGTGGCCACAATGCTTTTTGCACCCACCCATGTCTCCTGGGACAACCTTCGGTGTCCCCTTGGCAAGAGTTGGCCCGATCTGGTGCCCATGGTGGATGCCAGGGTCTCTCCCACCCCGTGGTTTGGACCCCAGGGTCTGGTGCCACAGGAAAACCGTTACCCCGGGGGGCGGGGGGGAGGTCCCCCTGCCGGACAAAAAATCGGGCGGCACAGAGAGCCCTGATGTGGCCCTGTTGCCTGCTGTACCCCGCAGAGCCGGGTCCCGCAGAGCCGGGGGGAGACGCGCTGCAGCATTCCCCACCCTTCATAATTTCCATTTTAATGGATTTTCTTCTTTTTTTTTTTTTTCTTTGCTGCATGTCAGCTTCCATTTTTCATAGTTAGCTGAGAAAAAGGGAGTTTTTATATATATATATTTCTTTTTTTTTTCCATCTGCTTTATATCCCCTCCCGCTCCCTCCCCCAGCCATCCTAGTCCTGGGAGAGGGGGAAGCCGCTCCCTCCACTCCTGATTGATGAAATACCGCACGATTTATAACATTAAATCGGGACAGGAACAGGGATTATTTTTTTTTTTTTTGGCACGCCGATCATTTCTTTGCTCTTTATTCCGGGCAGGTTCATCAAGCTCTGAGCATGGTGGTTTTGCAAATAATTTATAATTAATAAGACCTCAAGTGGAGGCAGGGAGGCGGGGGAGTGGTATAGTTGCGCTTTCTTCCCCAAAACGCACTTCGTGCCTTTGCCCACCCCCCTCCAGCTTTACACGAGAGGTCCTGGGATGGTTTGTAGTGGTTCGTGCTGCGTCCTGGCGATGGTTTGGGAGCCGCGCTGGTGCCACCGATGGCTCCAGCATAGCCCAGCACACTGTTGGGACAGGGAGAAGGATGGACAGACAGACAGACGGGAAGGACGGAGGTTGCAGGGCACCTGCTGTGATGGGGGAGCAGCTCCAAAAAACCCTTTTCTAATCATAGCTCTGGTTTCCTGTTTTCCCACGCCGCGGGGCTGCCGCTGGCCGAGCCGGGCCATGGGGTTCGTGCCGGGGTGCTTGGCTGAGTCGGGTGGGACCCGGAGCCCTCCTGCCTGCGCTTGTCTGCCTGCTCGCTGCCCGCTTTCCTGCCTGCCTCCATCACCAGGGCCTTCCCCTGCTGCCACCTCCTCTTTCGGCCCCGTCTCCCGGTGCACCAGCCCCTCGTGCCGTCATCCCTCCGTCCCAGAGTCCCCATCCCCTGCTCATCATCCCGAGCGATCTTATATATATATATATATATACACGTAGCCAGTGGGTAAACTCACAACGTGGGTGGCGTGTGGGTACATATATAATGGATATAAAATAGCCGGTGGCGGGCGTGTACGTGTATGGGGAAGCGCATTTAATAGCCCCAGCAATTTCCCTTTCTGGGTGCACAGGCGTGGCACAGAGTGGGGCTCCCGGCTCTGCCTTTCGCGGGGTAAATAACAGTGGACTGAGAGAAAACAGGGGGAGGGAAAAATAGTCGTGTCTGAGGATCTGGGTCTGCTTTTGCTTGAAAAAGCTTGAAATTTGGTGCATGGGCAGCTGAGGGGTGAGACAGAGCGGTTTGAGGCAGGGAAGGGGAGTTTCCGAAGCCGGGTGGGATGTTCGGTGTGTCCTGGCCTGGCTGCAGCCTTGGGATCCACCGTGTGAAATGGCTCCTGGTCCTTGGTGCTGCCCACAGCCGCCAGTGCGTCGGCCCCAAAACTCGCCTGGTCCTGCGCTGTGCTGCTCCGTATCGTGAGGGGCGGGCAGGCCCTTCCTCCCTGCCTTAGTTCCCCCCCACCTTCCCCAGTTAGCCTGGGGGGGTCCAGCCTGTGGCTCTTCCACAGGCTGGGGTGGCCGTATGGCTGCAAAGACCCAGCGGGACCAACACCCCCTTTTGCTGGGTGCTGCCCACCCCCCTACAAAGACCCCAGGGAGCTCAGGGTCTGATTTAAGCCGAGGGACAAGTGAGTGCGATGAGGAGGTGGAGGAGGAGGAAGGCTCCTCGCCCCATCCCACCCCCAGGGTGCTTGTTTTGTGGGAGCAGGGGTGCTCCCGGACGCCCCCGGCGTTGTTTGGAGGGGCCTGCCCCCGGATCCCTGCAGGCACCACCCAGGGCTCTCTGTGCCTCAGTTTCCCCAGCCGCCAGGGCTCTGCCGTGGGCACTCCCCCACCCCCCCGAAGGCTTTCAGGGACGCAATTTGCCGGAGGCGCCGGTCTAGTTTCTCCCGGGATCCCGGCCGTGGCCTGGTTTCTATTGCAGCCAGAGCTCCTCAGGGACCTCCTGTGCGTCCCACCAGGGTCCCCTATAGCCTCTACGCTTAACCACCCCCGTTGCGAGGTTCGCCAGCACTGCGGTGCCTGTTTACACCAGGCCCTTACACCAGTTTCTCGCCGTCCCCCTCTCAGATGTTTTCGATTACCCGAAGATGGATTTAGAATTAATTTTCCCAATGTGTTTAAGTGTCTCTATAAATCTCCCGGCCTCGCTGCAGCCGGGTTTTCCTGCCGAGCTGCCCACGGACGTCGCGGGTTGCTTCGCTTGGGATTGGGGCTGGCTTTTATTTAGAGGGAGGGGGATCCAGCCAGAGTTGGTTTTGGGTTCAACGTGCCGCCGTCGTGCTCGCCCTCTCCTGTGCCAGCGTCCCGTCTGCCTCCATAACCCCTCCTGGAGATACCGGAGGAACAGTGCAGATACCTCTGGGGCTTGGGAGATTTGTTTTTTTTTTTTCCCCCCCAAATTCCCACCCCCGTCCCTTGCCACGTTGCATCTTCATATGCTTGCTGGCGTTTTGGGCTCCTCGAGGTGCTCGGTGTCACCCTGATCCTGCAGGAATTTCCAGCTGGGAAGATGCTTGGGAGGTTCCCCGGCCCTGCCTGCTCCCTGCCCTTTTCTAGTGCCTGGTTGTGGCTTTTGGGGGGTGGTGGGCCAGCGGGTGTCGGTGGGGTTCGAGACCGCCCCCAGCTCCCTGCCCCGACACGCTCCGAGTTCGAGACCGG